CAAGTTCAGAAACGGTATGTGAATAAAACCATGGTCGTGTTTTATGTTAGTTTAGGTGGTGGTCCTATACTTAATCTACTGAGTAAATCTCAGTAGCACTTTATTATGAGCAACATTAATTTTAGTTGACCTAGTTTTTGTGCGTGTTTACTTTCTCGATTTTTGTTKTATACAATAAAATAATATGTATAAACGGTATACAAAAGGACAATATATTTTTCTTTCTCTTTTTTTATGAACATTCATAGATTTATAAAATGTAAATAGGTCTGTTTTCTTTCGGTTATGATGAGGGTGAGGATGCGTAAAAACGCCACAGGAGACCACTGGAATAACATCACTAGCTGGTAGCTAAAATATACATATTATACTATAGTATATATAGTTAAGTATATATATATATACATATATGTACATTGTTCATCTGCAATTTCGATTCGCTTTTTTTTCTTTCAACATGCATCTGAATTTTATCCTCCTACAATGTCCAGATAAAACATTATTTTTCGCTTCCATTTAACTGTCGACCAATACTGTATGTGTATAACATTTTGTATGTATACATTTAAACAAACACAAAAACAACACACTAATGACCCAAAACATCATATTTGTGCACCGGAAGTTGAAACTCTTTTATACGATTATTTTCAACCCCATCCCCTCTCTAGTAAATCATCGTTAGACGTAGGTACAATATTAATATATTATGATGGTGACTTTGTTTTTTGTCTTTTTTTTTTTTTGTTAATGGTTAAGTGGTACGAAAGGTCACTGGACATTTTGAAACTTTTCAATTGAAAAATGTAATGCGCACATATAAATATTATTTAGAACTGTGAAAATTAAATATATTTATTTCATAACATTTATGTTATGTTATACACATACTTCGTATACATGAGTGACAACTATAATATGTGAAACAGATTAGATGGGCGATTATGTTGATCAATAAAATTAAATTAAAATACAATTGTGTTTTTAGTTATGTTTATATTGTATATCTCATATTATATTATGACGCACAGAATTTGAAGGTAATAATTTAAATTTCTCATCAAAGATATTTTAATGTTTACTAATGATCAATTAATTCAAATAAGTTTCTAAAAAACTAGCAATCAATAAATTCGATCTCGATTATAATAATTATGGTGCACGTTGTAATAATGTACATTATCATGTTTAATTATAATGTAATACTTGTCAAGTGCACGTGTTATTTGTGCTCCTCTTGAAGAAAGCTTAAAAAACTAAATACATATACCTGCAGTACAATGTTATTTCGTATTTTTTATAGTAATATCCACGTCAAGCATACATAATTCACTCATAAATAATTAATTATAAGATATTTCAAATGTTGGGTCACAAACTTCTTATAAAAACTACAACCATATTGTTTAAGTAATTATGTTATTTATTATGAACACATTATTTAGATTTAAATTCTGTGCAGAAGTGTTTTTTTTTTTTACTTTATTTAATAATCCAGGTCACCTTGCATGAAAAAAATTTCATATTTCTGTAATTTTTTTATGTTGTTATTTCACCAAAAACCATAATTTGTTATGTATATTATTATATTATACAGCAACTTGGCTTTTAATTTTAGTTAAAATGATTATTTTTATAGCATAGTAATGTATACACTGCTGTTGTTTTTATTTTTCATTTACACGCAGTTTAAATCGATATATTAAATATATTATCGTGATACAAGACATTTATGTAAAAATGAAACAGGATTAAAAATTTTGATTGTATGCACAGCACAATAAAATAAAAACATTTTAAAAATAATAAGAATAGTCGGTGAACTTTAGATTTTCTGTACAAGAAATATATTATATGACCGCGTGTTGGTTTAAAAATGTATAGATAAAAAAGGTTAGGTTATCGAACTCAAATAATGTGCTATTATGTTAAACATTATTATTTTCAAGTGTATTTCATTTTTATTAAAGTTTGATCAAATTCTCACCACAAATCATTATGAAAATATTTATAATAAAACATAATATAACTATTTTTCTTCAACTCTTGTTTTAATTTATCGATTTCTTAAAATATTCGCTTCTTTCATTGATGTCAGAAACATTGATGTCAGAAACAAAGACAAAAGTATTAAAAACCAGCCACAACGGAATGTTAAATGTCGTAGAATAAATGAAAGCATCTAAAACAACAAAAAGTAACAACATGTTGTTCATTTCAACTTTCCTTTTTAATGAATTAATGATCTAAAGTAATTTATTGTTGTTTAGAGTGCGCTTTCGTTACTGACAAAATCTATATTATATTCAATTTACTTATTGGTATAGGATTTCATCAACTTATATCAAACACAATATCTTCAATGAATTTAATATATAATGATATAATACATTTTAGTGTTACGCTTACACAATATTATATATATATTATCATTGCCAAGAGGTTCAATAATATATTATGACAATATTATTAAAACAGTTCACTTATAATTTGCATGCGTACCTGTTATTGTACTTTTACGATCGCTGGTAATCTTCAAAATGTAACAAAACATACTCCACCCTCACAAATATCAACGTAAATCGGTACTCTTCAACTCCATAATCATTATACTTGTAACTTATTAAAGATTAAAATATTTATTTTGTTTGATTTAACATTTAAAAATATAAAATAGCTAATATGAATATACCTTTATGGTACATTGTTTAATAATCTATGTTGAATTCATTAAATTAAAAAAAAAAAATGTTTAAACATCACAATCTGTCAACCTATGAATCATAATATAATCTGGACGTAGTTAACTATGATAAGAGTTAAGAATAGTTGTTACACTTCTAACACGTTCAAGCAAACTTGTGGAACGCACTCTCTGTTTGATCAATTCTTGTTATCGACGAATTGGTACCACAAGTAACAATGACGGTATTTCAATTCTAACACGATCAATGTGTGATTACACCGTTCGCCAATACTATGAGTAAAACAACCGTGACCAATATTAAACATTACCATGATAACCAAAACTGATAAACTCATCCTACACACGCAATATAGTGGAATAACGCCTTGGTGTACGCAGTGGACATAAGAGCTTCCGGAAATCGAAAATCGAGACATAGGGCAGTCGCAGTCGTACTACTTATGTAACCAAGGTTATGTAATATCATACGCCATAACAGGGAGAAATTATAACGGTTGTTCGATTCCAGTTCAATGTATTATATCCTCAGCCTAACATCATCAGTGAGGTGACAAATTCCGCAAACATCGTCGACTCTAATCACACTCTTACGATGGCACACTTGACCCCGTACGACTGTATTGCCTTAAAAGTTACGATCGATAATCCAACCATTCGCTGATCGTCAGATATGAACTAAATATTTTTCTAGGAATTTCAAATTATAATAATATAAATATTAAACTTAAATTGCAACAGATGACAGTTAAAATAACAATTTTCTACAAATTGTATATACCTGAATTATCTGTATGATATTGTTAGAGACTCTAAAATAGTTATTTGAATTATTTTTTATTATACCACTTATACCTATGCGTGGGAATGGTAAAAACATGAAATTATCTTAAATCAGCGTATATGTCTATTTTGTAAAACAATAAAACAATAAATTATCGTTGATCTCTTCGTACAAAAAACGACTGCGATGTACAAATTGTTCAGTATCTACTCAACTCGATGGAAATAAGTGAATATTAATACGCTTCCACTAAAAGTGTACCTATCCACCCAATGATTTTTAGAGAATTTTCTGATGATTCTTGTCAATATCTAATTTGATGGAAACGGGTATCTAAAAACAAGGATATTAGGAAAGGTACACTTTTGGTAAGAACAGTAATTGATGGAAATAGAAATTGGTGAAAAGAGAAATTAATGATAATGAGGATTGTTGAAAAAGGAAAGGCACACTCTCTATAGAAATAAGTATCAACCTCTCTTATGGAGAACATACCAAGCTCAATTCAGACAGACTTAAACTGTGTTGTGCAATTACGCATGATGTGAAATAATATTATGGAAGTCAACACGAATGATCAACTGATTATGATTATCATAAAATATTAATTTATAAATCGTTAAATAAATGAATTGTGAATTATGTAAAATCAAGATTACCACGATTGACACAAGTTCTATAAGTATGAATATTGTACAATACGTACTAAACTAATAAAATATATTCTTTAGATTTAATTTTAGACGAATAAATCACAACGGCACATTAAAAACGAAAAACATTACTACACCAATCCTAAAAAATGTGAAAAAATATATTATAAAGCCAGCAATCGTTTTTAATAAAATCTTCACAATTGAGTTATCTAAATTTCACTGTGAATAGTTTTAATATAATTATTTATTATTATGTAATTCAAAATTGAACGATACTCTTAAAGTCTAAATACCTATGGGTATTACGCAGATACTTCAATTTCCTACGACATTTTTTGCACACTCATATAAAAATTAACACTTCTAAAATATTAATTAGCCTTAAATAATGAAAAATTTCACGACCCGCTCCAAAAAAATAAATACAAAACATTTTTATTTCCTATCAACTCTCACTATAATTAACACATTGCTATCGCAATATATTCAGTTATAAATATAAAATAATATTTATTTTATTTTCGAAGTTCATTTTTTAAACAGCCTGCAGGATTTATTTAAAAAGTAATGCAACATTTAAAATGTATTTCATAGTTTAATCTACAACCATTTTAATTTAAAAACATACGCTCGGCACTTTTGAAACATTTTTATGACATTAAAAATGATTTCTGAAGAGAAACACGTWGTTTTGAAAAATTAAAGTATTCTATTATAGTAACTATATATAAAAATGTATAGTCCCTTTATTTTAAAGTATACGAGTACCTATATTATTACTATTGATAAAATTGAATTTGTTTATTGTATATTGTTAATTTATTAACGGTGATGTAATCATATATGATGTACCTACCTTGGTAAATTATATTGGGAACAATGCCTTTTCTAGTATCGAACAAACTGTGAACAACGTCCAACGTGATCCCTTCTTCGGACGGGTCGTCGTAATCGCCATCATTTTCAAACTGAAACCCTTTGGTCGTCTCGAACTCAAAATCGATGTCCGGTTGAGTCCCTTCGTCCTGGCCCTTGTGGTCGTGTCTTATTTTCCGGGTCCCGTATTGCCGGCCAGCCAAACACAGGGACGCCAACAACATGATACCGCAACACACCCATTGGACCCGAGTGATTGTCATAGTCGTTTAATGAGATCGGATTTATTCGGTTCCTTGAATTTGTTTGTGGTCCGTTTTGAATTCCATACGCCCGTGACGTGATTTATTGTCTTCTTCGTCTTCGGTATCCATACCCTGTACAATAACACGCGTTAATGAAATCGATAAAATATAATAACGAATTTAAAATCAGCATTATTTTATTTTATTTTTTTTTATCGTTGTTTTTATTAATAAAATACAGACGCACTGTGACGTCGTAAATTGATACAAAAAACAACTAGCAAACAAAACTCTTCAATATTTATATCTGTCTGCATTGTCTGTTGAGGTCAGTATAACATAAAATAGTATTGTGGTCCAATGAAATCATAAACTGACATTTAAATAATTAAAAATAACAACTTGAAATGTATACGTGACATCGATTAGATAAATATCATTTGTATCATCATTGTTGAAAGGTTCCAATGAACGAAAGTAAAATTAATTTAAGTAATAATTTGTTTAAGTCCTATGGTTAAATGTTAATATACTTAAACATACATTTATATTTCAATCAAAATTTAATTTAATACATGTGTTTTCATTATTTTTAAAATAATGATCTTATAATACTAAGAGATACATTTATTTTTCAATTAATTATATGAGTAGTGTAATATTTATTATTTATAACTCGTTTTAGAATAGTAATAAAAAAATAAATAAAAATCAGATACGTCAATAAATGAATAAAAATATAAAATTGATCTTGAATAGGATATTCTTCAATAGTTTCCCCAAGTATAAGAAAAAACAATTGTCAACTTTTAAAAGTTCTCCAAAAGTTTCAATATTGATAAAAACCACCATACATACCCAGTGACTAGCTGTAAAGTTATCAGAGTGAGATGACTAGATTAGTTACTGATTTCCCACTGTAAAAGTATTAAATTAAAATTATACAAACCCTATATTAAGTCTCGTATAAATAAAAAATAAAATTTTTTTATTTTGTATTTGATTTATTGTCAATTATGGTTATGTCGTATTGGTGGAGTTTATATAATTAAATAATAAATAATTGCTTAGTGATTAATAAACTCGAAAAATAACTAACATAAAAAGGTAATTTAAATTTTTTTTTTTTAGCAGTAACATAATGTGGCTATACAATCAATACACCAAATCATTTTATTTTACAATATAGTAATAATTTAATCAAAATGTATACAATAAATCGTAGAATTAGATAGGTACGCAAAACGTACGTACTACATAATATATACATACTATTATTACTATCGTATATGGTCGATTTATATTTTGCTCGTTACGCTACACATGCAAGCATCAAAATTGCATACACAATGCGCCGGGTTACAATCTAATGTTATGATACCAAATTAAGGTTGTTGTGATACTCAAATTGTGTAGACCATTAAAATGTAATTGTAATACATTATGGTTGATCTTTACATATTACGCGTATGTACTGGCAGGTTGAATTTATATTTTTTTTTGTGTACGTGAATAGAATAAAGTCGATGTTATTATAACGACAACAATAAATAATAAAAGGTATTAATATGCTTAAACCAAAAAGATCGTCTCATTTACCAACCAAACGCCAAGGGTTAATTAAACTTGCAAGAAATTCGTTTAACTTTTACATTAAAAACACGTACCCTGCAGCTATAGTGGTTACATTARGTATTGATAGTCTTAAATTATGAATAAATAAATTCCTGTAAGTATCAAAAGTAATAAAAGTCAAACCGCCCGTAATTATAATATTTATCACACTCTTCAAACGAGTACATAGATTTGATTTATATTTCATACCAGTTTTTAATAGATTAACTGAATATATATATTATATATATTTTTTTCAAATTACATCAAATTAAATTATAAACTGTAGTGTGCATTGAATATTGTATTTCACTTTTATTTCCGAAACCTATATGATATATATGTAGTGATTCGTATTGAATCTTTTATTTGAAAAAATTGTGTTAAATATTTTATAAAAATAAACTACTTGTGTGTAACACGAAATATGTATTTTAATCAAACACAACAATTTAACATTACGGAAAATATAAAATAAATGGGGCTATAATATTATACCGGTGTAGGTATATTTAATATTATATCCTGACATCATTATATTATGTAATAAATTCAGTGAACAGATAAGACCATATAGATAACGAGATGCGTTGTAAGGGGTGTGATGCAAATAGACAAATTAAGAAATGAATACACTCAAAATCCTTTGAACGTGCATAGTGCGTCAGAAATAATAACACAGTGGAAAGAATCAAACCTTTATGATGGATGCCTAATGGGGAAAATAATTTATGTTTATAGACAGAAATAAAATAAAATTACAAGGTAAACGTGGCGTATAAATTTCTATTTGAATGCGTGTAACGCTTTTTGAAATCAAATTGTGTGTAATATGCATACCACAAATTATTATTATTCTGTCGATTCGTTACAATACCCGGTTCACCAATGTGAACACCTTAACTATACATGGTAATTTACTAAAAAACAACCGAGCTAACCCTCATATTATACTTTAATTATACATTTATTTAAATTTAATTTTTAGAATTTTTAAGTTTACAAAAACACAGAACTTTAAAAAAAAACTGAAATCTTTCATGGCATTAATTATATTCGCCCTATGGTAAATAGTGAACCAAACGGTTATTTTCAAATTAGCATCTTCGACCCATTTTTACAGTTATTTGTATACTAAATGATTATATTTATTTTAATCCACTTAAACAAAATGTAAATAACAATTTTTTTAATTATTTTACTTAATTGAATACTATGATTATAATATTAAATAATAATTAGGAATATTTGTAAGTATATGGTTTTTATTATATTACAGATTGTAAATACATTTATTTATAAAAGAAGTATATGGTTATCATTAATCAGTATGAATTTATAGACATTTTATGATTTATTATAATTTTATGAGTACCTACCTATAATAATTAGTAGACTAAATAATATTAAATTTATTTTATATTTTAAGTATGCATAACATCAGAATCTATGTTTTATAAATTTATTATTATGCCTAATTACCCTTAAATCAAAAAGTACAACAACTCAGGAACTACTTACCTACTTGTTCGAATTCCAATTTACATCTTATTAATGCATTCTATTGAAAATAGCAATTGTCATGTTAAATTAGTCGTGTGATTTATTTTATTTTATTCATTTATTCAAAAACTACTATAAATAAAATACCTTTAAAATAATAAAATTACAATATATAACCTGATGTAATTTCTTTATTTTTTATTCTACAGATTTAGATCTAAAAATAAATATAAAATAAATATAATAGTCTAAAAACAATATACATAACAGTAATAACAGTAATAAACAGTTGACCGAAAAGTTCCAAATGAAAAAAAAACCAACCATGATGTTTATTTTAATTCCTTTTGATAATATTATTACTGTTTTTATTATAATTACACGTAGTATTTATCTTTCATAATCATTAAATTAATATTTACAATTTTAAAAGTTGCTATATAAAATAAAAAATTATCAATAAATGTAAATTATAAACTTTAAGATCCTTACAACCCTAATTTCTTGTCAGGTGGCACTGCTGGGAGCCTTCTTTTCCGTATTTAATGTTATTTTGTTATTTTGTCATCACATTTACTTATTATACCATTGTATAGATTGTAAATTCACTATTTTTAATAATACAGATCCTGACTGAGGAACTGAATGTATTAGTTTTAGTATTTTACATAGGTAATGAGTTATATTTTTATTGACTGCCGTCTGGCATTGTTCTTTATCTATAGCGCTAAAAATACATCAATTTGACACTTTAAAGATATTTTTTAGTAGAAAATTGGATTTAGTTGGTAATTTTTGTGGTAAATAAAACTTTTTAAATTATTGGAAAAAATGTAGGAAAACACAAATATTTAGGTACTCATCTCCATTTTTCAACAAAACAATTTTGTATTAATATGACTTAAGAATGAATAACCGTTTCAGATATTAAATCATTTAAGTATATAAATATATAAGTATTTTATAATTTAAAAAATGTTAATCATATACATTTATGATACTTCATTTCCAGATATTACATAAAATACCAGTTCATACAGTGACGTTTTAAAAAATATTTATATCGATTATAAGCTATCACTACAATTTTTTTTTTTAATTTTCAGTAAATAAACTTATGAAGAATGTTTTATCAAAGTAATATATTTTGATCATTCGTGTTTGATATTATTGTATTTAATGTTTTAACATAATAATATTGTATATTAATGGTCATTATGTTATAAATCGTTTTCGAAATATTTGGTTGATATAACATTACTATTTATATCTTGAATGAATTCCTGATAAAAAAAAGTTTAAAAAATAACAGTTTTTTTTAATAAACTTTTATTATTCATATAACATACACGTTATACGAGTATAGTCAATGTTTGTATACAGTTTTGATGGTTAAACGCCATTATATGTGTCAATGTACCTCAAATTTCCGTTCAAAAAAATGCCAACTCTGTTAAAATCTACACCTTTAGATAAAATACATTATGCATTTTAATGGTTTTATGTGGTTCCGATATGTATAACGACTATGTATAATATATTATTCGATATAATAATGACATTTATATGCATACCATTTAATTTATTCATGTTAATATATACCTATATGGCTATATAACATATATACTATATAGTATATACAATACAATGCATTCATCATTTGATCTTATTTTTTCTACCGTGAAGTCTTGGAAAGTAAAATCCAAACCAAATACAGTTATCGGTGACAGAGCACTCATCTTTCCACTGCTTTGGAATATAATAGTAAATTTATTGATAAATACATCGATATTATTGTAAATCCGCCAGTAATAGTTAATTATCTGATTTAATAAACTATTTCAAAATTAGATTACCAAATTTACATTTCTTTAATCTAAAATTTATTTTTCAGTCTTTTACAATTCAATTTGATAGGTATAAAATATGTGTTACGAATAAAAAGTACCTACTAACATCATAAATCTAATGAACGTTTTTTACTATTCGAAAATATATTTTAGATATATTAATAT